TGGTTCACACCTGTAATCCCAGCATTTAGGAGACTGAGGCAAGAGGATTCAGAGTCTGAGGCCTGGCTGGGCTACACCTTAGACCCCCTGTTAAAAACACACACACACACACAATAGTGGTAGTCAGAGCAACTGAAATAGGCTAAGTCTGGAGGAGTATAGTACAAATAGATGTAAGAGAGCATAGTAAGTCTGTAAAAATCATATTAACTGAAGTAAGCCAGATCCAAAGAAACATGGTTTCCCTCATTTATAATAATTAGTATATGTCAAGTATAATCCTAGCAGTTTAGCAGAATAGCTCAATAGCTATGTACATATGACCATATAAGATGATGCTAAGTGTAATGAACTTCAAGACATGGAAACAAGAAGTTTTCATTTGTTGTTGGTTTTTTTTAATGTACTATGTAATTTCTTTTTTCTTTTGTGTTTTTTTTCTTTTTCCTATGGCTTATCCCCTATTGTTACCGTACTTGATTTTGGTACCCTGGGTATTGTATATACATTTATCTGAATTAAAGAAGGGAAAGGGGAACAACAAAATGGTGAAACAAAGGACAAAGGGTGAACTCATGCAACAGTGATACACATAAGACAATATGTTGGAAATGAACTGTACAACTTGGGGGGTAGAGGGAGGGAAAGTGGGAGAAAAATGAGGGAGAGGGTAACAAGTTCAACAAGAAATGTACTCACTATCTTATGTATGTAACTAACCCCTCTGTACATCATCTTGACAATAATGTTTTTAAAAAATAAATAAAAATAAAGAGCTATGGGGGTTAGCATAAGAGCTTTGCTTTGACTCTGAGATGGAATCTACTGCAGGAGAGATGTGGAGTGTCTTATGTTTTAAATGGATCATATGGCTACTAGGTTAACAACAACTGATAAAGGTAAAATTTTATGAGACATATAGAGCAAAAACTACTGACACTATATCTACATGAACATCTAAACCAAGTTTATACACTTGCCAGATATGAACACTCACCAAGGTATGAATGGGAAAAGTCAGGGTTTAAGTGCTAGAAAGTTAGAGAGGTTCCTGGTGATTATGTTCATTGAAGACTGAAGGCCTACATTGTGGATATGTTTGAACTTCATGGATTAAAACAACTCACTGTAATCACTGGACAGGAAGGAGGCTTCAGTTAGGGCAAGAAGGAGCTGACCCAAGAGCAACTCCAAATTTGCAGATCTTTATATGCTTCAGATGGTTAGAACCAGGTGTGCTCTGCTGTAACATTCCACACTGATGTCAAGTAGACCAGGGCTGTGAGTGGAAAGTTTCCCTTTTACAGGTGGAAATGGAATCCTTTTAGGAACTCTGGCAGAGATCCAGGAGGCAGATGACAGGGCTCATAGTAGAGTGCAGCAGAGGAGGTGGTGATAAGAATTAAGTCCTCATAGATGAGTAGACAACCTGGGGGTGAGTAGAAAATGACATCTAAGTTTGGGCCTCACTAGTTAGATGGCTTGGGTTGCCCGGGAGATAAGAAAGGCTGTGGATAAGGTAGGTTTGAGAGAAAAATTATGAGTTCAGTTGAGTTTAAGATGTCTATTAGAAACAATTACATAAAGGAGATAGATAGTGTTCCATGTTAGGAGCTGGCATGCATTACCCTGGGCAACTAGTGAGACCCAGAGATCTAGAAACCTCAACACACTTTGTGTTTTTGTCTTTCCTGATCCCAGATTTTAATTCACACACACACACACACACACACACACACACACACACACACACACACAGACTAGCCTTCTAAGCCTCTTCAAATATTTTGTATAATGATGTGGGGTATCGATTGATTTTTAAAGTCTCACTGTGCTTTGCAAAGTAGGTACTAAAAGATCATTACTATTGACAATCTCTTATGAGCAAGATACCATCTATATGCTTTTCATATGTATCTCTTTTCCTGATTTTGTTTTCAGTACTGGGGTGTGATATCAGAGCCTGTGCTTGCTAGGTGGGAACTCTGCCACCTGAGTTACTCTGCCAGCTGATATTTTTAAAATTCTATTAATGTGTTAACTGCACAAATTGATAGGACTTACTATGACATTTTCTTATGTGCTATAGTGTGTATTGGTCCCATCTACTCTTCTGTTCTTACTCCACCTTTCTGCTCTCCTCCTCTCACTTCTTTCCTGTTTCTTAATAATCTCTTTCACAAACATATCTTGTTTAATGTTTACAAATGTATTAGACAGTTCTAACACCCACTTGCAGATAAAGAAATGGAGGCCAGAAAAGTCAACACTTTCTCCAGCATCATAAGGCTAAACAGGCAGGCTAAGATTTAAGCTGAAATGTATCTGAGTGCCTTATAACTGCCTCCAGTGATAATTTACTAATCTGGGAATCAAGTGTATGCAAAATGAAAAGCCTCAGAAGCTGGTAGTGGTCAGCATAGTACATCAGTCTTCAATCTTGAACATGTATCAAAATCACCCAGGTTAGTTAACACATGGATCACCAAACCTTAACCTTTATGTTTTTAACTCCACAAGTATGGGATATAGTCTGTAATTTGCATTTTTTAGCAAGTCCCCATGTGCGTCAAGGAATAACACTGTAAAACCACTAATTTAGCTGTTTTCCCCTGATTTTATCAGCATTTATCTGATAAATGCCCCGGTCTTCCTAAAGCCCAAAATGGGAGAAGGAATGTTCACAACTCAGAGTGATGCTTGGTTGATAGTTCCTATAGGTTTAACTCATAGCTCTTTCATCTGCATGGAATTTGAGTGTTGGGGGAAAGTGAATGATGGGTGCTAGTGGCTAAATTTGAGGAGCTCTCCAACACATAGATTACCAAGGTTTCTAGCAAGACATTTACCTTCATTATTGTATTACATCATCCTTTCCTGGAAAAACATCATCATTCCTCCTCCCAATGTCCAAAAGGCAAAGGGGAGGATTCAGGTACAGCATGTCCTAAAAGTCTACTCAGGTATTAGAAAGGCCCCATGTAAGCTAAGAGAACACACACACACACACACACACACACACACACACACACACACACACAAAAACTAGGTGCAGAGTTTAGAAGAAAATTATGCAAGAGAGGGGCTCTGCTGTTTAAGCCTCATTAGCTTCATGGGAAATTGACCTCCGATCAAACATGTCTGTATATGTCTAACCTCACGGCAAGTTACTTCACAAGGGGCTCTTCACTCTCATTCTATAAGGGTATGTGGTTGTTTGCTGCTGCATAAGAGAACCTGAGCAATTCATGGTTGGAAAGCCTTGTTTGCTTTGATCCTGGAATTGGGGAAAAGGCAGTATTGCCAGGCACACTGGGAGGCTAAGCTTTGACCCAGCCTGGGCACTCATTTACATATCCTCGGGCTTGATTTCTTATGCTGGTTAAGTCTTCCAGAAATCTCTTGCCTTAGGCACATACCAAATACCTAATTTAGATATAATTATTCCTATCAGATTACATCAAGAACAAAATATAGTATGTATAAATCCAAAAGTTTGGGCTCCAGCACTGGACAAAAAATTAATTGCTCAGGTTTGACACTAATAGAAAAACAAAATTGATTTTAAAAATTAGGGGGAGGTTACTTTCAAAATATACCATTTATAAATTTAAATGCTTGCTTGACAAATATGACTATTACAGATGATGACACTGAGTTCCTTTGGTAAATCTTTATTAAATCTATTTTCCTACCTATTTTATTATTAGACATATTATGGGCAAATTTGGCTTAAAAATACATTGACTCAGTCAACAAATAGCTGGGCAAAGTCAATGGTCTAGATAGGAGTTAGGTAAGTTACTAAAGCAAGTAAACAGTGATTCCCCCTACCCGCCCCACCCCGCACTCCTGCCAATTAAGTATTAAGAATCTCAACCAGAGATGAAAAGGGCATCTAAGAGGCAGTAAGTGGGTCATGTGCCAGTTGTGGTGGCTCATGCCTGTAATCCCAGCTAGCTAGCTAGGAGGCAGAGGAGGAATGTGGTTCAAGGCCAGCCTGGAATCAAAAACAAGTCCCATGTGTTGGCCTGTTTCTTTAACTCTGGCTAGGTGGAAGGTCAGGTGGAGTAGGTCAGAGGATCACAGTGGAGGCCAACTGGGCAAACGGGGAGAATAAGCGAAAAATAACTTTAAAAAAAAGGGTTGGAATCGTGATTCAAGTGCCATAACACTGCTATGTGGTGTCACAGCAGTGTAAAATACCGAGCTCAACCCCTCAGTTCCAAACACACACCAGAAGCATGAGATGGCTTCATGAAGGAGGTTAAGGGAGATCGTTTTGGATGTTTGGGTTTTTGATGAGGCCTGAACATGTTTTCTAGTTTCTCTCCGGGAATTCCGTACACAGAAGTTAAATGAAGAAGTTTCCTGTGGGTCAAGTGGGAATAAATCAGGAGTACGAGGGTGCAAAGGTAAAGAGAGCGAGCACGATCCTCGAGGAAGCACCACCGGGAACTGAATCAGACTCGGGGTATTCTCGACATCGAAGGTGCGACCGGAGGAGTCACTGGAATGGACTCTTCGCGCCCGGCCAGCCGTCTGTTGCGCCGCAGACGCCTGGAAGGCTTTTAATATTGCTACACAGAACTCCCGACACTGCGTCCGCGTCCGAGGCGCCGGGGCCCCGCCCCGGCCCCGCCCACACCCCGCGACGGCTGCGCGGCGTGGCCACTCCGTGTCCACGTGACCGCTGTCGCTGCCTCCGCGAAGCATGAGCGGCCATCATTACTCCTGGCGACCAGACCCAGGCCTGCTTCCCTCCTCTTCCCGGGACAGACAGCGGTGACGGGGTGAAGTCGTGCTGCTCCAGCTCAGCCCTGGGTTTCCAAGAGCAAGACAAGGAGCCGGGGGGCCCACCAACTTCCGGAAGGACAGACAGCCGGGCGGACCGCCCAAGTGTCGGCACGGTGGGGGCGGTGCCAGGAGGCGTGCCCCGCCCCTCGCAGGCCAGCGCCCCGGACCCGCGGCACTTGCCCGTTTCCAGTATGGCCGCCCGCCGTGCCTGACCCGCGGCCTCTCAGTCCCGGCTCCTCGTAGGCGATGCGGAGGCCGAGACTGTGACTGACACTCTCGCTCACACGCACGCACGGACCCAGACCCACGCCGGGAGCCTGAGGCTGGGGCCCACAACCGCTCTTTCACCCGGCACCCCAGCCAGATCCCGGACCACGGCTTCAGTGCCGCCGCCGCCGTCTCGCCGAGAAGGGTCGCGCCGGACCTCTAGCGCAGCGGCCCCCGGCTGGCAAGGATGGGGAAGCGGGCCGGAGGAGGAACAGCAGCCGCCGCCGCCGCCGCCTCCACGTCCGCTGGGGCCGGGCTGGAGCCCGCAGCCGGCCGCGGCGGGGGCCCGTGGAGCGCGGCCGCCAGCCTCCTGGGAGCGCTGCACCTGGTGATGACCCTCGTGGTGGCCGCGGCGCGGGCGGAGAAGGAAGGTGGGTGTCCGCCGGCCGGCCTCCCCCAGGCGGCCCGCGGCCGGCTGTCAGGGCGCTCGCGGAGGCCGCGACGGGGCTGCGAGCGGGAGGGAGGCCGCGGCCAGCTGCGGCGCCAAGTCCCTGTCCCGAGCCGGCAACTTGCGGTCGGCCCGTGCCAACTCCGGGGCTCGGTGATTCCTTTGCTCAGGTCGCCCTGCTGTCTCTGCCGTTTCCAAACTTCCCGAGTTTGCCTCAGTTCTTGCCACTTGGCCCGCTATGTAGGGGGGGCTGGCTTTCCTTCTTTTTTTTTTTTTTTTTTTTAAAGCTTGACCGGTGCGAATAGGTAAACACTGCGGACCCACGGGGTGTTTGTTTGTTTGTTTTGTTGTTGTTTCCTTCTTGCTTGAGGTGTTAATTCGGGCGCGCAGAGTGCTCCTCTTACAATGTAGTGGAAACAGCGAGACCGGTGGAAAGGTTGATTCTCAGATGTGTATTTGTTCAAGCATTGCTTGGAGGTCAGTCTTGTTCCTTTAGCTTCCTCTTCGCTGTCGCTTTGCGCTATTGACGGCCGTTTACCTTATTACAAACCCTAAATAACAGTTCCATTTACCTCGCTAGGGAAGCTATTGAAAGCCGGTTTACTCTTCTTATTTAAGCTGCACATGTAATTCGATGCCTTTCTATTTGATGTGTAAGTTTGCAGCCTGCAAACCTTTTTAACCATAATGTACAGTTTTTTAAAAGGCTGGCGCCTAGTTTTTAAAGTGGCCTTACTGTGGCTGTAAAACTGGTACTTCGACAGGGTCAAAAAATATTGTGTAATCTTGAAGATCAAATCTGAGTAATTTTGTCTATACTGTTTCTGAGCCTTGGGGAAAGTGAACAGCCACAAAGCTTTGAAAAATTCAGTAAAAGTGAATACTTTTTTTTTTTTAAGGCCAAACCCAAAAACCACCAAAAAAACTTGTTAGGTTAGCTTCCATTTCACATCAGTATTACCAGACAATTAACTTTTTGCCCTGGGAACTCGGAGTTGCTGTTAAACTTAATGACTAAAGTCACTTTTTATTGTTATGGGAGGCAATGCCAAGTGGAAACCAAATTAGTGTTAGAGTGTAATTGTGGGCTAGTTGATTACTTCTGTTCAGAATGTCCCACTCTTCATTTAACTCTGTAAGTAACCTTAGTGTGGATTAATATATATGGAACAAACATCAGAGAGTTGCCATCTACTGCAAGGTATAATTGACAGAGGCAAGATTATTTCCACCATAAAATATTGCTGCTTTAGGACTAGGCAGGCCTGAGGTTGTGACAGTTCATCTTTGTTTACATATTTAGTGTTCTTTTTTGTGACCATGGTACCCAGCATTTGGGCACGTTGTGGGTGTTAATGGAACCTACTATATGGCTGTATTTAATGAAGATCTTGGGGGTATGGTGTTCTTGGCTTTTGTGTTCCTTTGCTTAGCTTGCATACAGTAGGCCCTTCCTTAACTTTTGCATGAATGACTGTTTTCACACATTATTAGCACAGGGAAATGAAAAAATGACAAATAAAGCATGAAATTTGTATTATCCTATTTATCTTTCAGCAATCATTTTATATGCTAATTTTCTAGATACAGTTAAGTATACCTCTTATTTGAGAACTGTAGCCAAAAATATGTTTGCTGATTTCCCATTTGCATAGTTTACAAATGTTATGCATCTCTCTCATATCTATAGATGCTGGCAAGGGTTAGGCCAACAGAATAGTTGCCAGGATGTTACGTATGAAACATGGTTGAATCAGCCAGTACTCCTGGCTGAATCAGGCATCCTTTGTCACCCATGATGCATCTGTATGAACAATTTTACAGGTTAAGTAGTTACTCAAGATATTGACAGTAATTATATTAATGTAGAATATACTCTGCCTATCACAAACGGATCTAGTCCTAATCAGGTATTTCCTGAAGACACCTCCCCCCCCCCCACACACAAATGGCTTATACTTCAAATCTATTTGAACATCAAGTTCTAGTACAGCTTTTAGTCTTTAATAAGTTGATTGCAGTTGATTTTGTTACATGATTGTGACACTATGACTTTGACACAAACATAACATTTGCCTCAAAAGAGTAGTGTTCTTTTTTTTTTTTTCAGGAAGCTTGGACAGATTTCTGATTATAGCCAAGTAGTTACACTTCTTTCTTTTTTTTTTTTCTTGTTTCAAGTAATAACTATCTTGAACTTTCAATGTTAGAATTTACCTATAGTTTTAATAATGATTCTCTGGGTATTTTGTATGCTTGTATATTTTTTCTTACGTTGCAGCAGAATTTTACTAGAAAATCTTCAAAGCAAAATAAAATTTAAGGCCTCCTAAAGAAAGCTGCAGGCATAGATTATCTAATGCAGTTTTTCATGTTTGAACTAGATGTTCATTTTCTTGAGTCAGAAGCATGAGCCATTTCTTGTCTTCACAACTTTTATGTCTTAACACTCCAATATCTAAACATCCATCTGTGGATGATGTTATCAAGAGAGGAAAAGAAACTAAGACTATTTTGGCTATGTTCACAAGTTTGCAAGGACTTTGAACTAGTTAACCAGATGGAGAAGTCACTATAATTACTACATAACTTAGTTTGTGTTAGTGTCAGGATTTTTCTTGAGGCTATGCTCTAGATAGTGAAATAGTGAAAGTGTGTATATATGCATAATGAAATACATAGTGAAATAGTGGAAGTGTGTATATATATATATATATATGCATGATGAAAATACTGGAGATAGGTATGTATGTATATAGTATACATATAATTCTGAGTAGTCTTTTATGTTACAAATCAGCTTATATGGCCAGCAAATAAGCATTTTGTTTTGTTTTTGCCAGTCCTGGGGTTTGAACTCTGGGCCTGGGCTCTGTCTTTGAGCCTCCCTGTGTTTATAGCTAGCAATTTACCACTTGAGCCACAGTGCCACTTCCATTTTTTTCTGTTTATGTGCTACTGAGGAATCGAACCCAGGGCTCCTTGCATGTGAGGCAAGCACTCTAATCACTAAGCCACATTCCCAGCCCCCAAATAAGCACTTTTTAAACATCTTATACCATGTAATACAGGTTCATCATAAGATGGGTTTTTTGGAAGGTATGGTGACTTTTAACTTAGGGATGAGAAGCTATAATTTATCTGCTAAAGGTAAACTTGGACTATTTTCAGGAATGTGATTTTTTTCCATTCATGACAAATTTAAACCCTAATGCTAAATGTATTATCATTAATTGGCGATTAATGATGGCAAGATAAAGTTTGATAAAGTCCTCCTTAAAACTCACTTTTGCCAATGTGTACTATGTTTCTTGTGTAGATTTTTGTTTTAAGCTGTAATTGTGTTGTAAGTACAGAATAACAGTACATAGTACTCTAAAGCATAAGTACAAAGTGCTTAGGACTAACGGCCAAAGAAAAAAGAAAAGAGTTAAAAAAAAAAAAAACAAACCTACCAGTGATTTGTCTTAGAATAGTAGAATAGAATAGGAGAGATAATTACTTCATGATGTAAAGATATATTGTAATTTTTTTTTGTACTGGTCCTAGTGCTTGAACTCAGGCTCTGAGCACTGTCTCTGAGCTTTTCTACTCTAGGCTAGTGTTCTACCACTTGACACAGTTCCACCTCTGGCTTTTTTTGGCGGGGGGAGAGGGTGATAGTTAATTGGAAATAAAAGTCTCATACACTTTCCCGCACAGACTGGCTTCAAACTGCGATCCTCAGACCTCAGCTTCCTAAGTAGCTAGGCATGAGCCACCAGCACCCAGCTTAAAGTGATTTTCTTAAGAATGAGATGTCTTCACCCTTTTATGATGGACTGCTTTAAATTTAGGGGTCTATAAGTAGAATAGTACTTAATAAGTGCTTCACTAATGTGTCCTCCTCCCCTGCCTGAACTCAGGACCTGAGTGCTGTCCTTGAGCTTTTTTTGCTCAAGGCTAGTGTTCTACCACTTGAGCCACAGCTGTACTTCCAGCCTTTGGGTGGTTAATTGGATATAAGAATCTCATGGACTTTTTGCCCTGGGCTGGGTTTGAACTGCAGTTCTCAGATGTCAGCCTTCTGAGTAACTACAATTACAGTCATGAGTCATTGGTACCCTGCTTTAATGTTTACTTTTGATTTTTGCTTTGTTTTTTGGGAGAGGGTCTTGAAATGTAATTCAAGTTGGCCTGGATCTTCACTGTATAACCCAGGCTAGTCTCTTGACTAATTCTTCCTGCCTCTGCTTCCTGGAGAGCTGGGATTTCAGGCATGTATTATTATACTTGGTTACTAATGAACAACATTCCTTGCTTTCAGTAGGATCTGTTTGATATTGTCACATACATTGGAGTCCTATTGTGGGAAAAAGGATGCCCTTTCTTTCTTATACTAATAACTTTTTTCCTGTTCTGCTTCACACACTGTACCCTGATCGTTACCTACCCCCCAAAAAAAATCAATTTTGGGAATAGATGTAAAATCATCAAATTTGTTATCCTTGAAACTATAATTTGAAAAAATAACCAAGTCTTTTGCTTGATGTTTCAGGCATTCTCTCTGCTTCCATGTGACTTGCATTTTCTGATTGGCTTTGCCAGACCAAAAGGCTTTTTTTGCAATGCCAATTTTCCCCTAGTGTCTGCTGTAAGCAGCATCGGGTTCTGTTGCAGTGCTTTGTGTTTCTTGGGTATGGTTGTGTTGTAGCTGGCTGTGGCTACACTTTGTTTGAACATGTCCAGGGAAGGATAATCTTACATTACTTCCAGTTTCTCCCAGGTTTTATTAATGAAATGATTTTTCTCCTTGCCACATTGGACTCATTTTTTACCCTTATTTGATTAAGTAGCCTTAGGACCTGTGACCCCCTTTCTTTGGTCACCTGTCCCACAGTCTGTCCCTAGCCTGGGGCACTGCAGTAGACTTTCTCTCATCTCCCACTGTCAGTCCCTCTGAATTAGCAGCCACTTACTACTCATTTGTCATTCATTTGGATG